GGGCCGGGCCGGGGGCGGGACTCCTGGGCGCGCGGAGGAAAGGTGCGGCCGGCCGGTGGGGAGTGACGCAGCAAAGCCGGGTCCGCGTGGATGCGCGCGTGCTCCGGAGGGGCGGGGCGTCGCTTGCGGGCGGCCAGGCCCGGCGCGGGAGAGCGGTCTTTGGTTTTCAGGGGGTTCCTGGAGGTGGTGAAAGACTGGAATGGCTTTCTTTCTGGGATGTTTTTGCAGAACTTGGGGTTGGGTATAACTTGCTGGTTCTTCAGTCATACAGCTTCTTAGGCTGGTCCTTTTCTACGTATTTATTTTCTGTGACTATAAATTTCCTGTCCTGTGTGATAGTGCTAAAGGGACAAAATAACGGTGCCTCTGTCACTTGGATATTAGGAGGGCTAATTGAAATTGTTCATGCATATAATTCACGGCACGCTAAACATTAATAGTAATTATTATTGAGAAGTAGGAAGGATGGAATGGTGAGTTCCTCTTTATAGATACCTACTTGGGGTGGGGAGCTTTGCATGACATGTGAATTTGAAAATAATTCAGAAATAGAATTGTTTCTATTTCTTTTTTGAGCCAGAGTCTCACTCTGTCGCCCATGCTGGAGTGCAATGGCATGCTTACGGCCACCGCAGGGGCTCAGGCGATCCTTCCACCTCAGCCTTCTGAGTACCTGGAACCACAGGTGTCCGCCACCACACCCAAAGTACTGGGATTGCAGGGATGAACCACCGCGCGCAGCTTGTTTCTACTGATGTTTCCATGAAAACAGCAGAATGAAACTCTTTAGGAGCTGGCCCTGTGTTGAGTAGGAAGCAGAGTGGATCCTGCTGTCCATAAGGGATACTTGTTCTGGTGCCGGTAATAAAAACAAAGCTCACAAGACTCTAAATCCTCAACTTCACTCATTCATTTATTCACTCAGGTACTTTTGACCAGGCCCTGTGTCTGCTTCTGATGATATAGTAGAGAGCAAAGAAAAGAAGTGTGAGTCTCAGTTCTCACAAGTTTGGTCTTCTGGTAGATTATAAATAAGTAAACATACATAAGACTGTGAGCTGAGCATGGTGGCTCACACCTGTAATCCCAACACTTCGGGAGGCAGAAGCAAGAGGACTGCCTGAGCCCAGGGGTTCAAGACCAGCCTAGGAAACATGGCAAAGCCTTGTCGCTACAATAAAGAAAAATTAGCTGGGCATGGTGGCTTGTACCTGGACTTCCAGCTACTTGGAAGGCTAAGGAAGAAGGATCGCCTGAGCCCAGCAGGTCGAGGCCACTGCACTCTAGCCTGGACGACAGAATGAGACTGACTCAAAAAACAAAACAAAAAGAAGACTTGCCATGAAGGCATAATAGGGACAGGGTTGGCAGGATGTGTTGTGGCAAGGTAGGAAAGTTGTGACTGAGGAAAGGCCATTTGAGCTGAGACCTGCAGGATAAGTCAGGGTGAGCTAGGCAAAGTGGAGAGCAGAGAGCCCAACACAAGCCATAGTTTCTGCAGCAGGAGGGAGCAGGGTGCATTTTTGGAAGTAAAAGATAAAGCCAGGTATGGGTGGCCTGTGCCTCTAGTCCCACCTGTTCAGGAGGCTGAGGTGGGAGGATATTTGAGCCTAGGAGTTTGAGGCCAGCCTGGCCAACATAGTGAGATCCTGTCTCTTAAACACATACCCACACAACAGACAAAAAGTGGTCAGGAGGGTTGCCATGCAGAGAAGAGGACAGCGGGCACTGGATGAGAGCCTAAAGTTGGTCCTGGATTGACCATGGGGCTGTGTACATTGAGGGCTTTGGTTTTTTGCTGAGAGCAGGGAGCTATGAGAAGGCAGTTTCCCCCATGCCAGACTCTGGAGAAGCTTGGAGGTGATGAAGTATTTGAAGAAAGCCATACTGAAGTGGACAGAGATAGGAAGAGGAATAGACAGTTACCAAACTGTCTACCAAACTATTCAGGTTGTCACAGAAAGGAAATGGGTTTAAAATGAAGCAATGTGGACTAAAGTTAGACCCTGGGGGGACTTTGCAGAGGCTTCTAGGCCTGTGGAGAACTGGACTAGGTGAGAAGAGGAAGTTTTGACCATGACACTCCCTGGCTCAGAGTTCTAGCCTCCCCACAGCTGGGTAGAGTTCAACAGCCAGGTTCAAAGGAGGGCTGACTCACCATGGGCCCATTGTTGATGTGGCCTCATCTGATGTCACATCAGCCCTGGCCTCTCAGGGATAGAGCCAGGTGAGAAGCCGTGTGTGTGTGAAAGTGCATGTGTGAGCAGAGGTCTTTTCTACTGTCTTTCTAGCAGAAAAATGGGGAGAAATGGGTTAAACTCAAAGCCAGAATGACAGAGGGGGCTTGTGTGTGACCTGGCAACAGAAGCGTCAAGCTACTAGGTTTCAGGCCAGTACATAGTGCGCTGTATCTGGGACTGTATCTGATGAGGTCAGAAAGGTAGTTTGGGGCGACAGGATGGGAGTGTGGGAAGCAGGGCCTCATTGGTGGGTGGAGTTGGAGACTTTGCCATGCCGAGTCAGGAAAAGCTGCTGCAAAACAGCAGAACTGCCTTAGGAGATGGAAGGAGAGGAAACTCAGGTCTATGGGTTACTGTGATTCTCCCTGTGATGAAGGAGAGAGGACATGCTTACCAAGGAAGCAGGGCAGCAGCCTCGCAGATCCTTCCCCTGGGACTGAGTAAGCATGCTGTGCGTGGCTCTTCCTGTCCTATGGGGTCCGGAATATACCTTCATTCACAGCTTGGGCGGGCAGTGTGTGTTGAAGTGGAAAGACAAAAACGTATGAGCATGAAATATCTTTCAGTTGTATGAGCTAGTGTCTAATGAAGTCCTGTCTGACAGTGCCCCACACCTGTTATTGATCTGATGTGTGGTGCGGGTGTCAAGAAGGGCTCTGAGACAGGACATTGTCTTGGTGAGGCCTTGGGACAGGGAGGACAGTGGAGGAGGTGGAGACTCAGATGTGGTCTTTGGAGCACAAGCAGATAAGATCTAGAGGAGTGAAGAAGGGTGCATCCCTGTGTGAGTAGGGCAGATAGGGTTCAGAGAGGAAACTAAGGCAACCTGGTAAGAGTGGTGTGTGAGCTGGGCTCGGTGGCTCAGCCTGTAATCCCGCACTTTGGGAGGCTAAGGTGAGTGAATTACCTAAGCCCGTGGGTTCGAGACCCGCCTGGGCAACTTGGTAAGACCTCATCTCTACAATAAATCAAAAAAAAACTAGCAGGGCGTGGTAGCGCGTGCCTGTTTCCAGCTACTTGGAAGGCTGAGGTGGCAGGATCGCCGGCGCCCAGCAGATCGAGGCTGCGGTGGCCGGGAGCGGTCACTGCACTCCAGTCTGGGCAACAGAGTGAGACTCCGACTCAAAAAAAAAAAAGAGTGGTATGTGAAGAGCTTTGCGCCTGGGTATAACAAGCAATTCTTGGAAGCTAGGAGCTCAGGAGCGGGTCAACAAAGGGACTCGGGAGGCAGCAAGGACAGCATGGGTCTTGTGGACACAGCAGTCACAACATGCTTAGGTGAGGAGAAGCTGCCAGTAAGGGTATTCATGAGACTTTAAAGAGGTTAAAGTGTCAGGTCAGGAGCTCATCAGGTCAGGAGCTCACAGGAGAGACTTTTGGTGTGGAAGGGAGTTGAGAAATGGATCTTGAGCTGGCCTTTTAGAGCTGCTGATAAGCCTTGTGCAAAGGGAACCTGGGAATCCTGTTGACAGGGGAGCATTGCTACAGTTTGGAAGGCATGGCACCCAATACCTTTGTGAGGGCTCAGCATCAAGAGGTGAAAGGTCACCGGTGGGCCTGAAGGAACTGAGAAGGAGATGGCACTGTGGATAAGGGAGTTTGAAATGAAGTGGGTGGCATCAGTGTGGGGGGCAACCTGGTACCTTATGAAAGACAGAAGCCTCTCCAGGGGTGCTCAGAGTCATTGGGTATTGCCGGGTCCCCCAAGAGCCATTTTCCCCTGATCAGTTTAGCTCGGGTACAGGTGTGGAAGAGGGGACATGCTTCCTGGCTTGGGGATTGTACAGCAACCTGGGAAGTCTGGAGGGCTGTGGGTGGGGAAGAGGCCAGAGCAGTGTGAAGTAGAGGATGGTCGAAAGGCAGCACAGGCTGGACTGTGGGGAGTAGCCCGGGGGGGTTGGAGACGAGGTGCTCCAGAGAAAGGGTAGAGGCAAGGCATGGAGGTAAAACGGGGAGGGGTGGTATCACATAGGCTAGTGGGTCATCTTCCAACAACAGTGATGCTACAAGGAGGTAAGAGAGAAGCGCAGGATCACTGAGGTTCTTTGGAGAAAGCCAAGGAGGACCCAATGCTTATGGCATCAGTGACTGAGCAGAAGTGTGTGAATGGCAGGGAAGGCCTTGGGTGTGTTGGGGAATTGGAGAGGCAGCCAGGAGGGGAGATGGAGCGAGAGGCAGCCATACTTATCCAAACAGAGTTGATGTGAAGATGGGGAAGGGCCTCCAGACTTGAATCAGGGCTGACTTGGATCTGTGCTTTCTTTCAATGGTGCCTGCAGACATGTACCAGGAGGCAGGCAAGGTCTCCCATGCCCCTGTCAGGCTAGGCCCCCTGGTTGCTGCAGACTTGTGGAGTTGATGTGGAGAGATGTTTTGAAGTAACTGTGGGCATTGAGGCTGCCGCTCAGGGTGTCCTGCTGTCCCTTACCCTGTTCCCCAGTCCCTGAAGAGGAAGGAGAAGGAATATGAGCATGAGATGGAGCGGCTGGCGCGGGAGAAGATTGCCACGCAGCAGCGGCTGGCAGAGCTCAAGCATGAGCTGAGCCAGTGGATGGACGTGCTGGAGATCGACCGTGTGCTCCGGCAGACAGGTCAGCCTGAGGACGACCAGGCCTCCACTTCGACTGCCTCTGGTGAGCCCCGGACCTTGTGCTGGCCCCACAACCCTCAAACGTTGCTGCCTGCACCTCAAATTCCAGTCTCCCTAGCCAGGCTTTTGCCTTCGAGAAAAGACACCCCTTGCCCCAGCCCCACCATTTCCCCAGACCCCCATGGGCATCGACACCTGCAACCACTTGTTTCCCAAACCCTTCTGATCTCCCTGCCCCATGTTCCCCCACAGAGGGTGAGGACAACATAGACGAGGATATGGAGGAGGACCGGGCGGGCCTGGGCCCACCTAAGCTGAGCCATCGTCCCCAGCCGGAGCTGCTGAAGTCCACTCTGCCACCTCCCAGCACCGCCCCTGCACCTCTGCCTCCACACCCACACCCTCACCCCCACCCTGTGGCCCTGTCTCCTGCCCACCTCCCCGTGCAGCAGCAGCAGCCACAGCAGAAGACCTCTCTGCCAGCCCCTCCGCCCCCACCAGCTGCCCCTGCCCAGACACTGGTGCCAGCTCCAGCCCACCTTGTGGCCACAGCTGGGGGCAGCTCCACGGTCATCGCCCACACGGCCACCACCCACGCTTCAGTCATCCAGACTGTGAACCATGTTCTGCAGGGGCCAGGTGGCAAGCACATCGCCCACATCGCCCCCTCGGCCCCCAGTCCTGCTGTGCAGCTGGCACCTGCAACACCCCCTATTGGCCACATCACAGTGCACCCTGCCACCCTCAACCATGTGGCCCACCTGGGCTCCCAGCTGCCCTTGTACCCGCAGCCCGTGGCAGTGAGCCAGCCTGTGGCTGTGAGCCACATCGCCCACACTCTCTCACACCAGCAAGTGAATGGCACAGCTGGGCTGGGGCCCCCAGCCACCGTCATGGCAAAGCCAGCTGTGGGGGCTCAGGTGGTACACCACCCCCAACTGGTGGGCCAGACAGTGCTTAACCCTGTGACCATGGTCACCATGCCCTCCTTCCCAGTCAGCACACTCAAGCTGGCTTGAGGATGAGGCTACTCAGAGGCCCCCAGTGGGGGCAGGGAGGGGGACCTGTCCCCCACCCCCCCACC